ATGAGGTGTGTTTGCAATGAGATGGATTTTGCAATGGGGTGAGGTTTGCTATGGGATGGGATATACGGTTTAGCCTAATGGAGTTTACATAGACAAAGTTAGGGATGGGGTTAATGAGGGCAATTTAGGAAGAAATATGGGGTGTAGAGAGTAGTTTTAAATTTCACCAAAATTTAAGAGTAAATTGCCAAAAACCCCCTTGAACTGGGACCCTAATCGAACTTAACCCCCTAAACTAAAAATTCAGCCAATTTAGCACTCGAATGAATTAAAATGGCCGATTTAACACGTGCCGTCAGATTTTATCACATTCCATCTAAAATCTCATCAGAACTGACATGTGAGACACATGTGCAACATAATTGGAGGGCAATATAGTCCATGGGCACGGTTGAGGCCGAAGAGACCCCATTCTCTTCTTCCTATCTAGGCCTCTTCAATGGAAAATCAGCCGACCCCATAACAATCTCTTCCGCTATGCCCAAACACAAAAGAAATGGAACTAAGAAAACCTAATAATTAGCTTTGTCGCTTTTTCTTGGTGTGTTGTCCAAATGAAAACAAGAATTGTTTACAGTCTTTGTTGTTTGGTTATTGTAACTTCCCATTGTTTGGTAGACTTATTATAGTGTGAAAATTGATTTATAAATGAGATTATGCATGAGAGGCACATTCCTTGAAGATAGAGAAGATTCTATTACAATGCAAGTCTGACTATCAAGATGTATTGGTCTTCCAAGTATTTGACATTGGAGATTGATCGGTTATGAGGGGAAATAGAAAAGTAGGTGAGAAGTTGACATTGGAGAAGAAGAAAAAGCAGAGATCTTGATGAACTGAGTTGGCTTTTTTCTGATTTATGGGAAGAGGGTTTAATCCATCAATCTTCTCCAAATGATCTCCAGAGAGAAGCAGAGCGATAGGATCCAAGACTGGCGACATGCGAACCCATGTGGTTCCCTCGAGGAGGAACTGAAGATGTGGATGAGAGTTGTGGAGTGGAAGAGGAAGAAGAACATGAAAAGCATTGTCAGCCATGGATTTATATAGAGAAAGAGAGTGAGAGTTGGGGCTATCTTTAAAGTCGAAATTGTCCTCTAATTTTGTTTCACGTGAGCTTCATCTGACATTATTGACGGAATTGTGCATGAAATGTGATAAAATCTAATGACAGGGATGAAATTGGCTATATTTTTTAATTCATGGACTAAATTGGCTGATTTTTTAATTCAAGAGGTTAATTTCTACAAGGGTCATAATTGAAGAGGTCAAAACGGCTGAAAATCCAAAATTTAATAGGGTGAATGTGGGGTGAAAAGAGCACATAATGGGGTGCAAATAAAATCACCCAAATAGAAAATGACTAGATTATTGTTTTAGATTTTAAAAATTGAAACTTGAAAAACAAAATCATTATTTTATATATAAAAAAATTAAATTTTAATATATATTATTAGAGATAGAAATAAATTTGAATTTAGGATATAAATGTAATAATATTGTGTATTATTTTCTCTAAAATAAATATAATTTAATAAATGGCCTTTAAACGGACCGGCCCAGCCTATTGGGCCTAATTACCTCGTTCGGCCCCGCCCAAAGATATAAGTTGTGCCGTGTGGAACCTTACTTAAGTAGGCTATTCTCGGGCCGGCCCAGTCAGTTTGACACATTTACTATTAATATGTATATGCCTCATTTCTGTTCTTTCTCACAATAAATGGAACTTTGATATTTGAAAATAATAATAATAATAATAATAAAGGTAGGGGTCAAATAATGAAACATTCATAAACCCTTAAAATATCCATATTCAATATAAAAATATTAAAACACCACAATCTAATATAATGAGAGTATAATAGTAAAAACTAATGTTCAAAATTGAAAATACAAAACAATTATCACCTAAATAATTAAAGAAAAGTATATTGCCCACTTTACCCACATTCCGCTCTTTTTGGTTTTATTTTAAGTTTTTAATTTTCTTTTTATCTTTATATATGATAATAATAAAAAACAACTAAAACCAGGCCACTTGGCACCCGCTCAAGAGGCTAGTTAGTTGAAAAGAATATGCTCTTTTCTTTTATTTATTTATTACCAAACAAGCAACAGTATTTTATTAGATCAATTGAAAAAGTACATAGAGAGAGCCATCTTGATTAGCAATACGACGAAAATGGGTCAAGCTTCCCTAGTGACCAGAGTCAGCTCTAGGACTGAAATGACCTGGAGAGAATAAATCACAAAGAACTTGTCTAAAAAACCCTATCTACCATCTAAGTTGTCGTAGATCAAGTTAGTTACATTAAGGATAAGACTTGGCCACTAACTGGCATAACTCTCCTAGAGAAAGTAGACCACCCATGAAATTCAACAAAATTTCTGGAAATTACAAGAGAAAACCAGACAACTCATACAGTTTCTAGACTTTAATAACAAACTACATCAAATCTAAGAAACCAAACAACGCCGACTACAGGAGCTGCAACATTTTGCTCTACAAATGATGCACAACCAAAGTCATCTAGATCCATAACAGGGACAACCAAATCTGCCAAGAGGAGAGAAGAGCATCATGGTATGCCAAGACAAGGGAGAATAACGAAAATACGATAGGGAATATGCCCATAGATTTGAAGCGTCTCATTCTAACTCTCCTCCACCCTCTGCCACATGCTCTGCTGTAAAAATTGCTTGCTAAACCCAAGTGCAGGTGTCACGCAATAGTAAATCTCGTAAGTCGAGTATCGTATCCACAAAGAGCGGTGTTAAAGAGCACAAAATACGTAAAATAACTGCAACAAGAAGAATATGATTAAAAGATTAGAAGAAAGTTCAATAATAATAAAACACTAAGACGTCGGGGTTCTAGCTTCAAAATACATAAGTAATCCCATTAATTTGATTCTCACCATGTTTGTTCACAATTAAAACCCAATTTAATTTCGTTTAGAAAGAATTTCAAGCATAAACTGTACCTACAACAACAATCTATCAAGAAAAATTTCAATGAAATCAAAGCAATCTACTAATTTTTCTCAAATCTAAAAAGCATGGATGGTTTTACTAAACTATAGGAAAAGCATGACTGAACCTATGAATATGATTATCAAGCACCCATCAATCAATCAAAGAGAAAAACTAAAATTAAATTGAACAAATCTGTAAATAAGAATTTAACATTAAAGCTCCATTCGAATCAAACTAACGAAACCACATAGTATCTCGAAGGCTTTCCCCCTAGCCTTAGCCAGGGAGTTAGTTCTCCATAACAAAGAAAAATAACTCTAGAAAAATAAAGTGTTTTGGGCCAAAAAGCAGAATCCCTGAGACAAAGCGAGTAGCACCCTTTTATAACAGTCAAACTCTAACCACTTAGGATTTATTTTCCTCCTTGAATTTAACTTCTCCACAATCCTATGCATGCATGCCAGCTTCTTCTTTTGATAAGTCATGGTCTCTTATTTAGCACGTGATGAGTCTCCAACCAATTGGCTTAGTTTTCTCTTTTACTTCATCTCTTGTGCACTCCAGCAAGCTGCCCACATAATTCCAATATTATTTGCCTACATAAAATTGGCCAAAGTCAATGCAAAATAATATTAAACTTTATTTGAAAAATTAAAGTATAGTAGATTAAAATGAATAAATTAGTAAATAAATAAGCACTATGGGTATATTTAGGGACATAAACAATGCACTTTTCAGCTATTATAAAAAATCGATGGGATCAGAGCCAACCACAACCAAGTCTGCAAAAAAGAAAAAAGAAAAAAAACCAAAAGGAGCAAAAGGAAAGCAGGGGCAAAGGAGGGAGGAGAAGAGAAGGGAGGGGGGATAAGAAGCCACGGCCTAGGGTTCACTTGTAGCTCGAGAGAGATTTTTCTGGTTTTTTAGTTGAAAAGAATATCCTAAACACAAGGATTCATGAAGAAACCGGCAAACAAATAATATGAAATGGGCTTGTAGCTTGAATGGTTTAAAGCATTTATCCATTGCATCCTAGATCATAGGTTCAGTTCTCCCATCCCCCAATAATATCGCTTGTATAAGGAAAAAAGATATAAATAATATATGTTTATCTAAAGCAATTTTGAGGATATATCCTCATGAGTCCCAAAGTTTGTATGCATTATTATTATTGTTATCATTTTAGAAAATTGTGTACATTATTAAATGTCACCTTTGGGCAAACAAAAATAATATGTGATAGTAACACTATATCACATGGCAAATATATAAAATACAATCAACACCTTTGAGCATTTTTTTTACAAATAACCCTATTTTAGCAATGATATATTATACAAATACCCATAGAGAGCCGATTTGAAGAGAAAAACCCAAAACTAGTCACTTATCATTTTCTAATTGGTTCTTGAAAATTTTCAACACACTAAGAACCAATTAGAAAATGACAAGTGGCTAATTTTAGATTTTTTTTTCTCTAAGTAGGCTCTATATAAGTATTTGTATAGTATATCATGTTAGAATGTCCAAATAAATTAGTGAACCTTGTTTGGGAGAAAAATTCTTTTTAATAATTCAAAAGCGCAATTTGATCCGAATGAATCATTGAGCCTAGAAAATTCGCATATGAATGGACTACTTTGACGGTATATGCTTGAAAGTTTTCTTAGAGCGATATCAAATTAAATTCATTATATATTCTTTCCTAAGTATAATTTTAATTTAAAATAAACTTTAAACAAAGGAGAAGATTATGAAGAATGATGGCAGCGTTCAAAACTTTCTTAGAGTGAGGCAACGCACTTTTAATGTGAAAAATAATAAGTAAAAGAAGAAAAATTAAATGCATGACAGTTATTGGGCAAATGCTAATATCTTAAATATGAAATTCATCAACAAACTTATGGAAGAAAAGACCACATAACATAAAATAACTCCCATTAATTTTCCATGATAAAATACCACATGAATCTTATACATCTAATTTCAGATCAGAAAATCAAAGAAGCCCTAGCTTTCTCATATCAATGCTTGGTGCAATCAGTTGGCTTGAAGGACACACTTCTTTCCTCGAGGTCATAACCCACCAGGAAGTTCATCTGAGCCAAGTTCCCAAATATGGCCACATCACTAGACGGTATCATTGTGAAGCAAATCATATCATCGTCCATTCTAGCAAATGTGTTCAACGCCTGCAACTTCACATCAGCACCTCCACTAAAATGGGCAGTTATAACAGGAACACCAATATCATCACTTTTGCTTTTAAAACAAAGGCTCAGGATCCCCCTTGGGTCACTAACCCGCTCGGCGTTGATTGCGGTCTCCAATGCCGACACCAAATCATCATGAAATCCAGGAGGAAGGAGAGTCAATGTAGTTCCAGAGTCGATGATAATATTCCCCTCATTGGCAGCGACGGCAGCTTCCTCGCAATCTGGTGACTTTGTTTTGTAGGCCAACCTCTTCTCTCCAACACTAATGGCCTCAAGTGTGAGGTAGTAGAAAGTGTCAGGATTTTTGGCAACTAAAGGAGTTGAAACAGCGCCGCTACCCGAGACAACACCCGCTCTGCCAAAACTTATCTTGCTCGCTGCAGTGTTTGCTGTGGGCACCAAGCAATACGAAAACTTCCCTCCGTTGGTCGATTTCGTGAGCTGAGAAATGAGGGAAAGGGGGCCACCTCCGAGGCCAATCAAGCCAGACCCGGACTCGTCAAATGTGCCACCATTTTCATGTCCACAGCCGAATACAACTTTTGGAAGTGAAGTTGGGCGGCCGGAGGTAGATCCAACGGTTAGGGTCTCAAGAGCTAGAGTCCCTCTAGTGAACGAACGGTCTCCATATCGATAGCTGTACTCACACGTGTCGTGATCGCCGTTAATTAGGGTGCCGCAAGCGGCTTCTTCGAGATAGGTGCAGGAACTGGACTGGCATGGGATTGAGTGGTACGTGGAGGATTTTTTAGGATCAAAGAGAGGCGGGTTTTGGTTGAAACACCGCTTGCATGGCTTGCATTGTGTCCAAATGAGATCGCTGCCGGTGTCAGCTATTCCCAGGACTTCAACCGGCGGCGTTCCAATCGAAACGTTCATGAGATATTCGCCCGCGCTTGGGATTATATTGGATTGGATATTTGGGGCGGCCGAAGAAGATGAGAGGGAGGTCATTGTTGGCTTTATGAAGTGATGGACACGTGTCACGGATCGACGGAAAGCGTTGTGGAGGCGATCAAGGTGGGACATGGAGGAATTGTACAAGGGAGAGAGAGGGGAGTCACGGTGGATGAGATCAGCAGTGAAGCCATGGCTGCTGGCTTGCGTGAGCAAAATGAAACATGCAAGTAGGGCAAGTGGAAAATATAACTTAGTGGAAGTAGAAGGAGCTGCTGCCAATGCCATGTTGGTTTTTGGTATGTAAACGATTAAAGCTGGGATCGATGAAGAAAGTGTTGGCATTGCAGTAAGTATTTATAGGAGGAGACAGAATTTTGAAAGGCAACGGTTTAGAGATGTGAATTAAAGATTGAAGGTCATCCAATATTCAATATAATTATATAGATGATGATACATTTTCTAGCCTACCGTTTAATAAGCTCATGAAACAAAAATGAATTAATTCCATAATTAATTCCATAATTAATCAATTTAATTCAATTTTCTTCATTCTGTCTATCTGGATCTCCTGCCAGCTTAATATGTAACAGCTCTCCTTTCATATTCTGCACCTTGGGCTTTCTTGTTCTCTTGTGCCGTCGATGAACTTCAATATCCTGTATTTATTTAGATAATTATTGACCAAAGGGTTCTAGCGGGAATTTTTTTTTTTTTTAAATCATGGTAGCAGAGCAGCCATGAGTTCTTTCTTTCAGGCTTGGAGTCAAATGAAAATTAGTACTATTAAAATTTGTAGTACCAGGAGCCTTTTCTGTTCTTTTTCTTTTTTTCCTGCATGGCTGCTTGCTTACTATTTTTTATTTTTATTTCTTTATTTTTACTATTTTATATATTATGGTGTGCTTGTGCTATATATTGGCTTTGGCGACAGCAAAAGAATAGGTTTTCTACTTTTTGCTGTTTTAGTTTTTTCCTAAATGATGAGAAATTTTATTCCATGGATATGAATACAAGTAAATACCTTAACTCATGGTTATGAAATTGTATTCCTACGTTTAATAAATGCATTATTGGGAATGCAATATCTAACTTATGGGTATGAATTTCTCATCTAGGAGGAAGTTCATACCCTTGGCTCACCGGAAACTTTTTCCCCCGACTTGGGAAAGCATTTAATGCAACTTTTTTGGACTACTTTGCGAACCAAATGAGCCCTAAAATAATAATTAACATCAGTGGCACGAAATGAGTTGACTAAAATCACTGTCAGCTTCTAATAGCAAATAATCCTAAAATAATCATGAGTATATTAGCACTGGCAGAACTAGGTAGAGAACTACCATGGGCTCTAGTCCACGTAGCCTTTTTTAAAATTATAATATATTACATGTATTTTAATGTTATTTCATCCCATAAAAGCTTAATAGTCCCCCCAAATGTAGCCTAGTAATTCATTGTCCGCTTAACTTTGTAGGCTTATAATCATCTTATATTTAATTTGTTTGCTCATTTAAGAAACATAATCTCTTAATAAACACTCATGATTTTAATTAACTCTCTACCTTTTATTATTTTACCCCAATATATACTTGTATTTCTAGAAAAACTATAGAAACAATAAGTGCAAAAAAAAAATTATTAAGCTAATAACTTTAGCTAGCCCGCCCATTAAAAAATTCATGGTTCCACAATTAGCCACCAGGAGTAGTCCCATTCCAAAAGAAAAGTCCCATCTTACGTAAGACACGGACAACCACCAGATGTGCTACGCTAGTTTTTGGCTGTTCAAGTGATTAATATGTGGGGATGGACATAATTATAATAATGGTTGTTCTTACATGGGATGAAACAACCAAGACCTAGGAATTTTTCTAGGGGTGGGCTAAATTATTTTTTTGGGAGATCTTTTATAACTAGGAATTTTTGGGCTAATTAATATTATATGGTAGGATTATATTTTTATTTATAGAAAATATGGTAGAATTTTAGTGGGTAGAAGAAAATAAAATCTTATTTGGGTGGCTAGGATAGGCCGAATTCTAAAAGATAAGTGGGCCAATATTTAATTGTAGTGGATTTTGTTGTACAATAAAGACTAAAGTACAAAACCAGCATTGGGCTAAAGCCCAATTGAGCCCCTTCATAGATCCACCCTTGGCAATATCTAACTTATGAGTATGAACTTCTCATCTAGGGGAACTTCATACCAAAAATGGAAATTAAATGAGAGAAAATGACAATTCCTAGTCCTCATTTCTCAGGGTTCCTAAATATGGGAATGAACATCTTCCATTCCTATCTCGTAGGATTAGACATGAGAATTTCATTCCCAGAAAGTTTAATCCGTGAATCAAACGAGCCTTAAAATAATAACTAACATTAGTGGCACAGAATGAATTGACTAAAATCACTATCAATTTCGAATAGCAAATAATCTGTAAATAATCATGAGTACTAGCACTGGCGGAACCAGGTAGAGGGCTACCATGGGCTCCAGCCCAAGTAGCCTTTTTTTAAAATTATAATATATTACATGTATTTTAATGTTATTTCATCCCATAAAAGCTTAGTAGTCCACCCAAATGTAGCCTAGTAATCCATTGTCCGCTTAACTTTGTAGGCTTATAATCATCTTATATTTAATTTGTTTGCTCATTTAAGAAACATAATCTCTTAATAAACACTCATGATTTTAATTAACTCTCTACCTTTTATTATTTTACCCCAATATATACTTGTATTTCTAGAAAAACTATAGAAACAGTAAGTGCAAAAAAATATATATTAAGCTAATAACTTTAGCTAGCCCACCCATTAAAAAATTCATGGTTCCACAATTAGCCACTAGGAGCAGTCCCATTCCAAAAGAAAAGTCCCCTTTGACGTAATTAAGACACGGGCAACCACTAGATATGCTGCGCTAGTTTTTTGTTGTTCAAGTGTTTAATATGTGGGGATGGACATAATTACAATAATGGTTGTTCTTACATGGGATGAAACAACCAAGACCTAGGAATTTTTCTAGGGGTGGGCTAAATTATTTTTTTGGGAGATCTTTTATAACTAGGAATTTTTGGGCTAATTAATATTATATGGTAGGATTATATTTTTATTTATAGAAAATATGGTAGAATTTTAGTGGGTAGAAGAAAATAAAATCTTATTTGGGTGGCTAGGATAGGCCGAATTCTAAAAGATAAGTGGGCCAATATTTAATTGTAGTGGATTTTGTTGTACAATAAAGACTAAAGTACAAAACCAGCATTGGGCTAAAGCCCAATTGAGCCCCTTCATAGATCCACCCTTGGCAATATCTAACTTATGAGTATGAACTTCTCATCTAGGGGAACTTCATACCAAAAATGGAAATTAAATGAGAGAAAATGACAATTCCTAGTCCTCATTTCTCAGGGTTCCTAAATATGGGAATGAACATCTTCCATTCCTATCTCGTAGGATTAGACATGAGAATTTCATTCCCAGAAAGTTTAATCCGTGAATCAAACGAGCCTTAAAATAATAACTAACATTAGTGGCACAGAATGAATTGACTAAAATCACTATCAATTTCGAATAGCAAATAATCTGTAAATAATCATGAGTACTAGCACTGGCGGAACCAGGTAGAGGGCTACCATGGGCTCCAGCCCAAGTAGCCTTTTTTTAAAATTATAATATATTACATGTATTTTAATGTTATTTCATCTCATAAAAGCTTAGTAGTCCACCCAAATGTAGCCTAGTAATCCATTGTCCACTTAACTTTGTAGGCTTATAATCATCTTATATTTAATTTGTTTGCTCATTTAAGAAACATAATCTCTTAATAAACACTCATGATTTTAATTAACTCTCTACCTTTTATTATTTTACCCCAATATATACTTGTATTTCTAGAAAAACTATAGAAACAGTAAGTGCAAAAAAATATATATTAAGCTAATAACTTTAGCTAGCCCACCCATTAAAAAATTCATGGTTCCACAATTAGCCACTAGGAGCAGTCCCATTCCAAAAGAAAAGTCCCCTTTGACGTAATTAAGACACGGGCAACCACTAGATATGCTGCGCTAGTTTTTTGTTGTTCAAGTGTTTAATATGTGGGGATGGACATAATTACAATAATGGTTGTTCTTACATGGGATGAAACAACCAAGACCTAGGAATTTTTCTAGGGGTGGGCTAAATTATTTTTTTGGGAGATCTTTTATAACTAGGAATTTTTGGGCTAATTAATATTATATGGTAGGATTATATTTTTATTTATAGAAAATATGGTAGAATTTTAGTGGGTAGAAGAAAATAAAATCTTATTTGGGTGGCTAGGATAGGCCGAATTCTAAAAGATAAGTGGGCCAATATTTAATTGTAGTGGATTTTGTTGTACAATAAAGACTAAAGTACAAAACCAGCATTGGGCTAAAGCCCAATTGAGCCCCTTCATAGATCCACCCTTGGCAATATCTAACTTATGAGTATGAACTTCTCATCTAGGGGAACTTCATACCAAAAATGGAAATTAAATGAGAGAAAATGACAATTCCTAGTCCTCATTTCTCAGGGTTCCTAAATATGGGAATGAACATCTTCCATTCCTATCTCGTAGGATTAGACATGAGAATTTCATTCCCAGAAAGTTTAATCCGTGAATCAAACGAGCCTTAAAATAATAACTAACATTAGTGGCACAGAATGAATTGACTAAAATCACTATCAATTTCGAATAGCAAATAATCTGTAAATAATCATGAGTACTAGCACTGGCGGAACCAGGTAGAGGGCTACCATGGGCTCCAGCCCAAGTAGCCTTTTTTTAAAATTATAATATATTACATGTATTTTAATGTTATTTCATCTCATAAAAGCTTAGTAGTCCACCCAAATGTAGCCTAGTAATCCATTGTCCACTTAACTTTGTAGGCTTATAATCATCTTATATTTAATTTGTTTGCTCATTTAAGAAACATAATCTCTTAATAAACACTCATGATTTTAATTAACTCTCTACCTTTTATTATTTTACCCCAATATATACTTGTATTTCTAGAAAAACTATAGAAACAGTAAGTGCAAAAAAATATATATTAAGCTAATAACTTTAGCTAGCCCACCCATTAAAAAATTCATGGTTCCACAATTAGCCACTAGGAGCAGTCCCATTCCAAAAGAAAAGTCCCCTTTGACGTAATTAAGACACGGGCAACCACTAGATATGCTGCGCTAGTTTTTTGTTGTTCAAGTGTTTAATATGTGGGGATGGACATAATTACAATAATGGTTGTTCT